ACCGCGGCTCGCTCTCCCGCTCTCGTTTATTTATGATGTTCATATTCCCCAAATAAATATCAGCCCTAAATTGGGTACCTGAAAGTATTTCATTGAATTTGTGTAAAAGATTTTACTAGTTCCTAAAAGACTCCGTGTGATATTTGATAGCCTAAAAAACAGTGTGCCGATACAGGGTTTCGATTTATTTACGAAACTAATCTGACCAGTTGCTGCATTCTTTGATATTAATTTTCAAGGAAATAAAACTTTTATATTTCACTTAATTTGAGAGACACGTAACTAAATATTAACATATGTTCATTATTTAATTATTCGCAATAAATAAAATTTTTATAAATATATAACGTGTAAGTAAATTCGTATGTAAAAATTTACCAATTGCCAGAAAGTAATTGTTCGTGCGTATTAAGATTTTTACAATAGGCGGTAAAACTATTCGTACTCCCATATAAATTATAAATATATAAATGTTAATAAAAGCGGTGTATATATTCTCCCACCATGTGTATTGAAACAATGCTCCGGATAATTTCACTATTCGCGGTGAAAGACGACTTTGGAGTGACTTAGAATCAACAGGATCACCATAGTAAACGACAAAACCCAAATAAACCTCGATCAGATGACCAGCAAGTACCAGAAACTCGCAAAATGTAAACACAACTTGTCAAATGCATTAATGAAAAGCTTATTAATAAGCGCAACACGATATGCAGGACACACATGGTCTCTTTTTGCGACACGAGACGTCTAGACCTCTACAAAACTTCGAAAACTTTCTGCCTAAAAGCAGCTACCCATGGCAACTCTGATCGTCCTCCAGGTCTATGGTTAAAATGCGTAGCAAAAGACAAAAATGAATCTGCTGGGCGAGCACACCTTGTATTCTCACAACAGGCCTGACCAAGTGGTGGCCCGCGGGCCACATCACAAACAACACGGTCCCCATCACCACTCAGTCTTCACACTACTCACTTGCAAGAAGTGCGTATGCATGCTGACTGTCCCCATTTTCGACATTTAGTAATATTACTTTTTGCACCTTTTTTTATTCGTCCTTATATCTAATTAATATATTTTTCATGTGCAGGGTATTCAATTGAGCTGACAACAAAGGACTATTTCGTAGGCCATTAATTGTATGAAAAAATTGTTCTTACGAAAGTTGTTTGAAATGGACGGAGATATTATGTAGTATAAATATTTTTCTTTTATATTGCGTTATAGAGGGGATTTCAGGGTCAGCTTAGCTTTTTTAAGTGGTTTTTTAAATGTTCATTGATTTAAAGCAAAAGTATTTGATGAATATCTATAGTAATCAAATGAGCTTGTTGTTTGAGAAAATGATCAGTACACGGTAAACCGCACAAAATAATTTTATACACATTTTTAATATAAAAGTGTTGTATTTACTTACAACATAAGTTATAGTGTTCTGTTCATTTCTAAACGATCAAAAACTTCCATAGGAGTCTTAAAATCACCGCAAACATGACTACCAGAACTGCTGCTATCCTATACTTTGATGGTTTCATTTCCATTGGTAAACCAGACACAGTTCCCTTCGGCAAACATAACTTCAAAGACGGAGAAATACCTTCATTTACTGGTTCTCCTTTCATAGAATACTTCGTCGTTTTTACAATTTTCACCTTAATCAATTTCCCTAAATATTCTTCTCTCAAGGGCACTAAAACTTGCTCATAAGATTTATTGTGCCCAACGTAATGCTGTTTATCATGAGATATTTCCGTAACTAGAACATCTTGAACTAGTCCAACATTGTTATCGTATGGGAAATAAGAATGAAAGAATTCTGATAATCTTTTCGTTCTCTGCTTCACTTGTTGCATGGGTACATATGGCATTCGGGCAGCCGGTGTGCCCGGTCTAGGAAAGAACTGATTGATAAACAAACTCGGAAACTTGTACTTTTCACAGAGCGTCATTGTCTCCTCGAAATCATTCTCTGTCTCTCTCGGGAAGCCGCAAATTATGTCAGTGGCTATAGTCAATCCTGGGACTCGTTCACGCAGAAAGTTCACAACGTGTTCGAAATCGGCACGTGTGTACTCCCGCTTCATGTCCGATAGTACTTGATCGCTTCCAGATTGTACAGGAATGTGGAGGAAACTATAAACTTTCGGATGGTTAAGAATTTTGCTCATTTCCTCTAAATGTTCCCTAATGTATGGCGGATTGGTCATGCCAATACGAATCATACATCCATCCGGCACCACTTCAACAAGTGCCCACAGCAATGCCGGTAAACTAGTGCCAATGTCTCTACCATATGCTCCAGTGTCTTCAGACGTTAGCCATAACTCACAGACACCTTCGTCAAAGGCCTGAATTGCTCTTACGATAATTTCTTCTGGCGGATAACTTCCTAATTCACCTCTAGCGTGTTTCGTTTTGCAGTAAGTACACTGATTTAAACATCCCGTGTTTATAGCTATAATTTCTATTAACGGATTCCTTCGAACTTTGGGAAGACTCAGAGAGGCGCCGCCTATCTTTTTTCCAGCTTCCTTTTTCTGTTGTAAGAAGCGGACTGTGTTTCCCTTTAGGGCCTCTTCGACCACTTCCACAACGCGATCGATTTGTTGCACACCGATCATACTGAGTCCTTGCAGAAAAGATGATTTTGGAGCGCCTTGCGGTACACATCTAAAAAAAATTCATTTTTATATTTTACTCAGTGTTCAGTTTAGCTTAGTAACAGATGTTTTTTGTTCCTATTTTTGTTCTACTCCACCCTCTTTGACCAAGAAACATTTTCGTTTAACATATGGGTCATTCCACGCGAAGCGAATCACTTTTATACATGATGTCTGCGATAGTTTTGACCTTGGAAATCTATGTCAAACTTGATCATAAGTCATCTTATACAAAAGTGATCTGCTTAGCATGGAATGACCCATACATACATAAATATTTGTTTCTGCCAAAGGATTTTGTCATTGTTTTTTTTATGAATTATTTGTACCTAATTATTTTGATTTATTGCAGAGAATCCCCTGAATCACGTTATTTAATTTTAAATGTTTAACGTAAAAGTTTTGATAATGATAAATTAACATGTTAATTATTTCTATGTTGTTTGAAATCAGCTACTATAGCCTATTCTGTTTCATATTGTGCAACACTGAGTACTTGTGACAAATAATATGTCACATGTATGTGGTAAATGGTAACAAACCTGTTAGATTATGATTAATGAATATTATCAATTATTATTTGCCATCTAATGTAGTAAACCTGAGCATAATACGAAGATCAAATATTGTAATACTAATATGAACTGTAAAATATTTTGTGACAATCAACTTTCGATGGTCGTATCTTAATACTTTTAAGCAGTTCATTTAGAAATAAGAGACAATTGTATTTCATGGACATACCAATTCATCTGCAGAATATACTAATTCACTGATATATCAATTTTATTATATCATATAAAATTTTCCTGTATGTATTATAGCGGTTTTACCAGAAAATAGTTAAAAACATCCTGTACAGTTTTTCAAAACTGATCATTCCAATAAATTATTCTAAAATAACTGTATAATATAAGAAATTGTTATACCCAGCTACTACAACATGTTTTCCCAGTTTCTTTCCAGCTTCTATTTCATTTCGGAAATGATCCTCTGCAGGACTTTTTACTGTACATGAATTCAAAAGCCATAAGTCTGCTGCAAACTTATTTTCTGTTAAATTGTAACCATAGGCTGCTAGTTGACCTGCCATGTATTCACTGTCAGAATTGTTGTGCGTACATCCCCATGTTTTTACATAAATTGTCTGAGTTCCTGGCACAATACTGTTGAGTATTGGAGGCTGAGGCACTTTCTGTGTCAACTGTTTTCGTTTCGAACGAACAGTAATATTTTTTCTTGTACTATATCGTTCTTTCGGTGTAATATCCTGTGACAATATTAAATCCTCTATATCTTCAACGATATCGTCACATGGAGCTGGCATTTTGTACCAATTTTAAATTACATCAGTAATTTATGAATAATTTTATTTGATGAAATCTAAAAATTATTGTATTATCTTTCTTACAAATTATTTTTAACTCATTAATATAGTATATAAAACACATAAAAGAAACTTACTAAAAGAACTATATAGGTTATGTTTTAGAATATTTTGTCAACACGCCAGATGTGAGATTCTATTGGATCGTATCATCCTATATATATCCTATAGATTCAGTAGCGATATTTTCTGAAAAGTGTTAAAAGTAAACGCGGTAACTTTCAAGTCATTCAGTTCAAATAAGGTGATTCGTTATTAGTTATACAATAATTGGTGAACTGTTATCACTGCGATGTAGATCAAAAAGGTGCAGTGATGACAAAAGAAGAAAGAAAAATTATTATAAATTTACACACTACAATCACTTGTAACGCGCGTAGCGTATGCGTGGTTGGCGGTAGATTTAAACAAAATTTGCTTCGTACTTAATTTCAAATTTAGTCGAGCTTAGTTTAATTTTCAATGGACACGCCTTGATGATAAGAACAAAGTTTTTCTTAAATATTTTTTAAGAAATAAAAAAATTGATTCCCCATCCATAGAATTTTATTTGTATATTATTTCCACTTACCTTTTCGTTTGTGCTGAATACACAAATAAAAAATGTTGAACACTTTTTTTTAGTAAAGAAATCACTACTGTACTTTGTGATCTTTTATTAAAAGTAGAGGGAACATTTTGCAACAATTTATAATAATTGTACAATTCCTGAAATCGCTTGCGATACTATTTACAATTTATAAATCACATTATATTACATTATAGCCTAGAGTTTTCGATTCGGTGTGGTGGTTGCGGATATAATCGAGGAAGTTCTAATGTCGGTACATTCCCATCGTCGTGAGTAAACATAGTATTATCGTGTCCAAAATCAGGTTTTCTAATAACAATATCCTGTGTCTCTTCCTTAGCGCCTTCCATTAAAAATATGGTCAAAAAGAACATGATGGAGCCTGTAACAATTACTTATGAATAATTGAAATTTGTAGTTATATTCAAAATTATAAGCATACTAAAAAAATGTATGCAATTTTTTTATAAAATGCTTTCAATTTTTCAGAATACTTAATTATTAGTTATCGACATGTAAATGTCGCCCCGCGTACTATCGACGGTTCTCGATTAAAACGAATCCCAGCAATGGATTATTGAATTATTATATGAATTATTATTACGGAATTATGATTACTCACTAATGCCATAGAAACCAGCGTAATAGATGTAAAGAGATTCTCGGAAGCCAATGGCCATTCTAGTCGGTTCAACCAGAATTGGCAAATTTCCACCGATGTTGTTCATTACAAATAAAAAAGCACCAATTGTTGTTGATCTCAAACGCAAAGGAACTATTTCTACAACGACGGCGAACACTATGCCAAACCACATTTCGGCTGAAATCAAGAGGGTATTTATAAGTAATGTAAGTATAAGTATTATAACTTTAGTGCATTTCCCAAGTTCAGGGATGTTATAAATGCATAAACATCTGCAGTCTAGTAATCAGTGATCTAGTCAACGCGTAAAACTTGATCCGCTTTCAACACTTCTAATAAGAGGTTCAAACATTTAAATATTGCCTTTGTTTTAAATAATGACAGAGAAATGCGTAAAACATAATTTGAATGGTTTTGAAGAAGAAACACCTGTGGATGTAATAATAATAATAATAATTTTATAAAAATTAGACTTCTCTAGTTCGAAACAAAATACACATCGGATGAACAATATATATAATTAACAGCAGAATCATGTTACTCCATTGGTTCATTACCTTGAATGTACAATAGAAATGAAGCAATTGTTCTTTAAATGAAAAAAATTACTCGTATAATTACTATTTTACTTACCGAAGAAATAAGAAATGCCAAGGGTAATCATTGCTCCTAACGGATTAAAGTATACAGAACCAAACGCAAAAGGTGTTGCTATTATCTGACTAATGGCCAGACAAGCCACTCTCGATCTGATTCCCATTTTCGCTACGAATTTGTCGCTTATAGCACCACCGACTACAACACCGATGCTGCCTATTACAATCGTCACAGCGAACAACCACCACCCAAGATCATAGTCAGGGAAGTAGTCCCTGTAGTAGAGATCGCAATTGTAGGCGAAACACATCCCACCTAGAAACAAGAACAAGATTTTAACGTAAGAAGGCATATTTTAAGAGAAAACAAAATCGACCGATCGGGCACCAGACACAGGAAGTCGAACCCATGTCTTCCGTTTTCCCGATGACTGCTTTGATACTTTGACCATGTAAGGCAGTACTGTTCAGCTTAGCGTTTCGCGGACACAGTAACAGCACACCCCATATATCTTAATACCTTGTTTCTATCTTTCAATTAAAAGTGTTTATGTTCATATCTTCTTTATGAATTATAGACTTATTGTTGTACACTTACAATATCGAGTCAGACTTTTATACTTCGGATTATTTTGGTTTTGTCAAAATAGAGAAAAGTACTTTATTTGATATGAAAAATAATTCTAATAATCATATTCCTCGTTTTCTTCATCATCATCATCATAATCATCATAATTTAAAAAGGGCAGTTGACCTTTAACTACTCGCACCCCGCTTTGTGCAAAATGGCTCGAATATGGTCTTGTAGGAACTCAATATATGCTTCTTTGCGTGACTAGTCGCATGGTGTCAGCCATTACTAGAATCTCATAAAGAAGATTTAATTAGAAAGCTATACGGATGAGATTACGATAACGGGTATGAATTATGCATTTATGAAGACATCGAAATTACAATGACCCCGTGCGAGTAATTAAAGTTTAATTGTAAGTTTGACTTTGGAGCAGTGTGACTTATAGATGTTGTAAATGATTCAGAGGTGTATTGGGGAATACCCTATGGTTTCGAAGGTTTCTTAAAAGTTTTTATAAAAAAGTATCCAGGAATTATACGGCGTAATGACAGTTTCAGCGACTGCAATATATGTACGATCCTCTAATTGTTTTGAGCAGTGTATAGTTACGATCGCAACAAATACCATTGATTTAAACTCAGTTTTCATAAAAACCGCATTATTTACATGGCACTTAATAATATCATAGCGACTACAATACCAATAGATCTAATTATCCTTACTATGTTAGTAATTGAAACACTAAAATTGATGTACTTAGAGTGTCTCATGAGACTGATGATTTTCAAGAGTAGCTTGAGGGTAACTTCACCTAGCAATAAAATTGTGAATAGAGTGATTTCTTGAGCAAAAATAAATTGAAAATGTAGAATAAACTTTGTTTTTATCAGACATAAACCAAATGTGTAATCACTAATATAGCTTTAGAACAGCCCTGTCTAAGAATGAGCTCAGGAATACTTGTGGCTTCCCCAATCTACTTACCCTGTTGTCATGGGGACCACGACGGTAACGTTCTGTGTCCACGCAACGAATTGGCGACGAACGGGAAGCATGGGGCATCGCTAGTGAGCTATCGCTGCCGTTCTACTACAAATGATGAGGGACTACACGGTGTAAGGAGCCCCTCCCATAGACGGGCCTGCTTTAGAATATATTTTAATCCTTTACGCCAAGCTATTGCCCCTTACCACAGTGCCTGATGCTCGCAGCCAAGCATAGAAGCAGAATCCTAGGTTGTAGAATCACTTTCCAAATGCGTACTTTCTTTCCGTCCTTATTCACTTCTTCCTCGCCGATCGTTTTTCTCGTTGGCTCGGACAGCGTGAGAGTGAGAGCTGCTATAATTAGCCCGACTATTCCAGCTCCGTAGTAACACGCCCTCCATCCCTGTAGAAATCAATATTAATACAAATAAGTACTCTATTCACGGAGGCAAAATATCGGATACAACAATTTATGTTGCACAGTGTATACAAAGGTACATGTAGTGGTGGGTCTACAAGCCGTTTAAACATGTTTGGACCTCTGTGACCGCGAGAAGTTTGAATAGTCTAAACGTAGGTTCGACATGACAAGGCGTTCAAACTTATAAAGACAGATCCAAACTTATAAGAGGCAGGTAGTAACGTATAAGAGGCAAGTCCAAATTTTTGAAGCCGCTCTTTGTCTGCAGTCTTAAAAGCCTGAATTAAACTCTGAACAGTTTGATCCTTAATCACGAGTTTGAACGCCTCACGTCCAAATTACGTTTCGACAGCCCAAACATGTTTGAATCTGTTTAGTTGCGGACCCATCTTTAGGTACGGGTATATCATGCGACTTCGATAGATACTACAGAAGAAAGCGAACAAAAGTGACCATGATGGTAAAGTTTTAGCTTCTCAATTTCAAAATCAATCCAGTTAGGGAGGCAAGACACATACGTCTTCTGTTTCCCTGGGCCAATATGTACAGTTTTTATAGTCTAATGATCTCCTTATTTCGTAGTGTAAAGGGTATATGATTGAAGATGTCTGAAAATTTAAGGGGTCATCCTAAATAGTAAAATAAGATGAAAATCATTGGTAACAAACTTCCCGTTGAGCCTTCGTTTTTTAGTTACATACAAACGTTAAAAAATCAGGGCGAAAACTGCCTGAAATAGGTAATTTAGACACCTCATGCAGCACTGGCTCAACACTAATGATTGCTTTGTGAATACTTTAACAGCAACACATACAAGTATATTTCATAAATACATATAAAAAGCGTTATAAGTAAAATTTTAGTTACCAAATTTCCAATATTCAATTTTGGTACATAACGACCAACAGGAAATGCAATACCATAGCCACCATAAATGCCCCAATTAAAAATTGACATAACGAGTCCTCGTTGTTCTTCTGCAAACCAGTCGGAAAGTAAACCTGTAGCCAGAGGGTTACATCCTGCTTCCCTATATGAAAAATATTCTAAACTTATAAACAGTAAACTTTACGTACCTACTACAGATTAGAATTATTATTCAACTTTTGTTTGAAATATTTTTCAGTATCATCAAAGGTTTCAAAACTATTCGAGGGGTCGATTTAAATGACTCACTCTGTGTACAAAACTTATGCTAGAAACATAATTATTTCTGGAGTGCAATGACACTTATCTTACCCTGCTGCTAATATCATACGAAGAATAAGTAACTGCCAGTACTCCTTGACTGCTCCCATTAGGACTATTGCTACACTGAAGACAAGGGTGCAAATGGTTAGCAACCTTACCCTGTAATTAAAGCATAGTTTTCGATTACATACACGTGTATATGTTGGCGTAAAAATAAAAAATAAGTAATTATATACTTTCGTTCACTTAATAATAAAGGCACGTATTAGGTCCTATTTATCTTTTTACTGGATTTCTTATTTTTTTTTATGAATACAGATGTATAATTATGAGCGAGCACAAAGTGCACTTTCGTTACGTTCTACTAGACGTATAAAAAAAAATCACATAATTTCGACTAGAAAAGTATATGGCATCTATTTTATCGAACTTTGTCACATCAGTTGACTATTCGTTTACATTACTGGAATATTCTAATTCAGAAAAAATTTCGGCAACAGAAATTCATCTAGAAGCAAGTTCAAGAATTTTTAACCACATGAAATTAATCAAAAAATGGAAAGGAACTATGTAAAGCGGTAAAAAATAGAAGTATCATATAAATGAAAAGTATAAATCGCAATTCTACCTTTAGCAATTCTACGAAATTTCTAAAGAACTCTATATTTTATATGCTAACGTTTTAACACGTTTACTGATTGAAATTATTGACGATGATTTACTATCAATATAGCATGTACATATATACTAAGCAATATGTACACACATGTGAATAATGAAATCGACATACATACCACGAATGTTTTGAAAATTATCTTCTCGGAGAGAATTATTACTGCAACGTTTTAATAAAATATTTTTAGACGAATATAATAAACATTTCCTGTTTGTTTATTTAGTTATCACATTTCTATTCATAGAGCATACTGATAAAGTTTGATCGTTTAATATGGGAATACCTTGTATCTTCATTAATAAGATACAATAATAGTAACATTACCTACACCGAAGTAATCATTTACAAGTTTTACCATTGGTCTACGCACTCTATCATTTAAGTACGTAATTATAATCAGAGTAACATTTTCTTTATACATTCTATATTTAAGATAGTGAGTCTTATGCAAAAAATAACCATACTCGTTACACAAGAAATAAAGAGAACTTATATAATAAAACATACACCGCTTCTCTAACGGTGTGCAACATGTTGCAGTTTTCCTTATGAACAGCAACGGCAGCGGTATAGTTCCTGGAACTGATATATTGAGGTCGTAAATCGAAACTTTAAGCGGGGACACCGATAGACACAGCCGAACCCAGGGCCATACGGGTCTTATAGAAGTAGTAAAGTCGACGGGCACGATATTGTTTCCTAGTAAAATCATTAAGTTGTAAAATTCCCCTGTTTCGGTAGCCGAAACTATAATTCGAGACGCTTAAGCTTCTTCAGGAGCGTGCAATGTCAATTCAAAATGGTTTACCTGCAGGTTAATTTTTACCAATATAGTAATTACTATTGAGTAGGAGGCGGCAGAGATTAAATACCGTATACTTTTGATGAAATATTGTAAGCACAAGTTTTAAATATCAATTTGCAAATGACGTTTGCAGCCTGAGATATAGACCGCTTCTAGGTATGTTAGGGTACTTTACAGCGACACTGTATTTAGGTTTTTATAATTTTACGAGGACACAATATCGTGCCTGTCGACTTTACCCTGAATGTCAGACTGCAAAAGTCATTTGTGAATTGATATTTAAAATTTTTGTTTACAGTCTGTCACTAAAACTGTAGGATATTGACCCTCGTACAGTGGGAGGGTCAATTTGACTCGAAGTCAATGTTTGATTCTTAATTATGTTTTTCATTATAGAAATTTGTAAATTAATTAGTCGCCAATAGATTACATACATCATAATCTAGCGATAGGTAAATATGTTTCCTTAATACTTAATAAAATATATTTACTTAACAGTTTATTGATCAGCGGACGAGGGTTAAGTCCTAACTGTTATGGATTAAGATGGATAGTTTTTCATAGTACGGTACTGAACGAGGTTCGAGCTTGTTATTTTCCCCTACTTAATGTTTCCGATTTTACGATCTCGCTATATCGGTTCCAGAACGTGTACCAATTAAGTAAATTATGTATAAATCGTGTATTACAAACAGGCGCTGTGATGATAGTGGCAACCTTTACAACGGTACTAGTTGCGTAACCATTAGAGAAATAACGTAATAAGGATTTGTCATTAAGAGATACCTGTTGTATTTATCAGCTGCAATACCCAAGATGACGCCGACGATCGTGAAGACAGCAATAAAACTCGGACCAGCTAAGATTTGATAATCCAAACCAAGGCCATTGTAGTTCCATTCGCAGTAGCGAGTACCATTCAATTCCAGAGATTCGCAGCTGCGAAACAAAACACCTTCAACGGATCGTTCTAATTTGATGGAAGATACCGTCACGGACCCAGTTCAGAACCCAATTTCTGATCAGTTTAATATATATTGTAGATACCATATAGTAAGTTTATTATAATAAATGTTATTGTCCAAACAATTACTAAATAATTATTATCTATTTGAAATTTATACGTAAAATTCGACAGCTCAGAGTGAGATACAGTCACACAATTTAGGTGATCAAAAATTATTCCTTTTGCACTTCTTTAAAAGTTAAATTATAATTTAATTCTATCACTATTTCTGCGCTTTTGTCAATACTAACTTAAAGATAAAACATAGATTTATTCTAATAACAACAATTCTTTTGGATTTGGTTAATTTTTCTACTTATAGGTTAAAAAACGGCGATAGTTACTCATATGATCAGGAAGTCAGTCCGTAACGGTAAAGCGGATACATACAATGAATTCTGTTCACATACAGAAATATTCATCATCAGTGACACTATTAGTGGTACGATTATTAAGAAAGTTTTTTTTTTCAGATTCGTATTGGATACAGAGTATGTCGAAAGAGCAACCAAGAAGGTATACACGTCTACATATGTATTTGCGTATGAAGCGCATCAACGTGTTACGTTAAAATAGACATATAAATAAATAAATGTCAAGTTTCATTCAAATGTTCACAAATCGAATGAATTTTAAAGTTATCCCCCCATCCCAAAAATGAAGCTCTGTTCCTGACAAACATATTCCCATTATGTCGATTTATTTTAAGGTGTAAAATCAAAATACTTGATTTAATACTAAAATTACTAGACAAAATACTAAAACTTACAAACTTTCGTTTTTGGCTACCTCGCATTGAATCGGAAGTTCTATGACGGACAATGTTGTCGAGTTTAACTGGCAGGAAATGTCACCGTAGTGTAAATCCTCCGCTGTGGCTTTGCTTGTAACACCTTGAAAACGAATATAAGATAAAGTAATTACTTAAGTTGGCCTAGAATTGAACGATTAATGTGCACTGATTTATAAGTATAGTAGAATCCGTAACAGAGGAAAAATACCGATTTTTCCCCATTACTACTTTCAACGCTGCGGGTAACGAAGTTGTCGAATAATAGTGTTTCATAAATGCATGTCGATGCTGTAGGGGGTAAATCTGTCATACTAATATAATTAAATATCCTTCATCTCTATATCTTAACTTTCGAGTAATGAATAACACTGTTCAACACGTAAAAAATTCTGCAATTTTCAATATGCGTTTCTGATAGCACAGACGAGAAATAAGAATAGACTAATTAAGAATAGAATAATTTTCTGTCCCATGCTTCGGGGCGTCAGGAGCCCCCGTACCATTTCAGTATTCCATTCCTTATAATTCCACATATTGTAACGCAATAACAATTTTCTTCAAGCTTAGCTTTAACCTCGAAGAAGATTCATCCTTCTATCTTATTTCTTATAGGAGATATCCTGAAACAGGTGTACACCAGTCACCAGTTTTAGTTTTTCCATCTTTCCAAAGAACTCATTTTGTAGGTAAGATTTCAAGGACTATGACCATATTATTTTTTAATTTAAACATTTCTTGCGCTTCACTGGGAAAATCGCGAAGAAGAATTTGTTTATAATTTTCAGTATTAAAAAGTCAATTTTTCAAATAACAAAAATTATTCTGCTAGGGCAATCCTTCTAGAGTAAATGAATTGAAAAACGAACTCGATACGATAAATAGTTTTCAAGATATAAATTTTTAAGTACCACGCTATTTCACGAAAATAGGCAAAAATCGTAAATTTCAGCGGCTGTATTTTTTAAACAAATTTTTGCAACAGAAAAATTATATCTTAATCCCCCTCCCTATTTTCACGTGGACTACAATATATTTCATTATGAACAAAATCCCTGATATCCACTGCAAAAAGCGATCGATTTGGCGTGGAATGCCCATTTAAGTAAAATACGAATGACTTGTGCTTTGTTGATATTTGTCTGTACCCAACAAATAATGATCTATTCTCATATTTTTTCCTATAGTCAAAAACAATTGAGATATTTAAGGTGCTCGAGTTAAGTGAAACGTCCTATGTATGAACTTCATGTCATGTCACTTACCAATTAAATAATGGCCTAGCTCTCCAAGAACGTATCCAATGGAAACAATAGCCAACGCATACGGTTTGTACAGAAATCGCACTTTCTGAAGGGTCGCACTTAACATTGTAACCTGGAAAAACAATAATTTCACCTTTCATTTAATATAATCGATTATACCTTGATTATACCCATCCACGTATACTTTATTTAATAATTACTCGAAAAATCTCGATAGAGATTTAAAACATATAATTTTTTTTCAATAATATCGTTGTCATTTTATTTTTATGTTCTACGTCGAAATCGGTAATTTATGTACACTCTGTCAGTCATAAAAGTTTCAACGATACAGTGTGTAACAAAAACATAGATCCACTTTGACTTTTGGACACAATTCCGGAGTTAGAACCAGGGAGTATTCCTGTAGCACTTGGTTTCACAAACAGTGTTTCATTATTGCACAATGAATATGTATCAGAGTATTGTCCGTGTTTAACCGTAACAAAATGATAGATCCACTAACTTAAATGTCTTAATTTTTATTACAAAATATATATTTGACTGTGTAATGTTTTAAGTATCAAGAATATAATTTTGTAAGACATTGTATGGTATAGAAAATGTGCGTTTATCTGAAAACGAGAAAGGGTGAATTCTGGCATTTAAAGAGATCGGGTTGAATAATCGTGAAATTTTTCGCCATCTAGACCGTTCTGATCAGGAATTTCTTGCGAAAGGTCGTCAGTACGTTGTAGTGTATTTGGGGGTAATTCAGTGTTAACCAAATATCATAGTGAAAATAGTATTGTCAATTCGGAATAAGCCTCACAGGTGTACAAATACCTTTTTCTTCGACTGTATGTGCGCAACAATAACTGTATTCACCATCGTATCTATCATTACGTTTCAATTTACTAACTGCGATTGAAAAAACTAACTGACTCGCTAAAAGAATGATTACTACATGTAATAAGTGATAAATGTTTGATGGAAACGTTCGTCTATGTTTCTGTGGGACGGCAACGCGCGTGCATGAGTTGGTTGCCTTGAACCAAAATCGTTGAGATGGAACGGAAATTATCGTTTTAATAATCTTAATTCCTTTATTCGTAAACATTATAACACGGCTTTCGCCAGATGAATAAGACTAACGACTATACCCAAAGTATAGACTTGAGACATGAAATTTTGAAATATTTTATAAATATTCTTGAAATAGTACACGTGTATTAAATACGTGTGAAATAGTATGCATGTATTAAATTCACGTGAAATAATACACGTGTACCCGTCTAATTAAAATAACACGTACTGAAATACGTGTACGTGAAATAGGGATCTCTAGATCGTATTAACTCATGCGTTTTTTGTCATGGTTACGAGCGTGAGTCATAAAACAAGGAGTTTTATTACTTTTAGGACAGACCACCTATACTACAAATAAACAACATCGTTTTGCAATTCAAGGTTTGTATGCTCTTTTATATCTTGTTATATGTTAGCCGTCTCGTATAATCCTATATCGTCGTAGAATTTACATTTAATTTAGAACAACGTAACAGTTTAGTCTAGGAAACTAAAAAGTATTCAATGTTTCGTACCTTACAATCTTAACGACAGAGTTATCACGTGTAAGGTAAGAAATTATAGCTCAAGAAAACTCTTAGATTTCACAAAAACGTTACTGGCATTGAACATGTCGTTATGCCAGACGCATTATGAGATTTCTTTCGTGTTAGATGTACACATAGATTGCGTGAAAACGACGGAAGTTAGATTTTATTTTCTATGTCATTAGTTTTTATAGATATCGATATGTACGTTCAATTGGTAACATTGATCGTTCGAACTGATGTGAAAACTTATATGACTTGAGATACGCTGCTTGAAATATGGAATTTGTAATTTGTATATTGTTCCTTTATTTTTTCGTAACTTTCCGTAGAAAAATATTCAATTCTATCGACTTTTTTAAATTATTAAGATATTTTAATACAGTGGTATTACTTGCATAATTAAAGGATATTGTTAAGTTTAATCATTAGAGATTAGCAGATAATTACTTCTAGAATAAAAAGCGATCACAAATTTGGATTATAATATAAGAAAATTACTACTCTGCATTAATTTCTCTATACTTTTAGTTGCTCTTCCCCTTTTTATATTAAAATTAAGCCTGGAAGGATACTCAACCATTTGAATAAGGTTTCCTTTATGATAAAAAGACTGTGGATGTTTATGCGAATTTCTATTTTTGTAGTTCATTTAATAGGAAACAACCCCCAATAGAAACTAATTTCATTTATCAAGAGTTTTATTACATTAAAAATAATACAAAGATTTTAGTTATTCTTGTTCAAATTTTCATTTTAATATGTTCCCAATCTTTGAATTTGCTACAAATGCATGTCGTAAACAACGAATTAGCTTATTGTTAGCACGAAACGTGGTATTTAGTTTTTCTGCTGGGCCACCCGAAGAAGATGTGGTCAATTAAAGCGAGACCGGATAAGAGGAAGTCTAATATACATATAGAGAAATGCCATTTATTTAACAGGCTTTATTTTGTGTTATATATTGTAATTAAATTATATATTGTAATTACATTGATATTACCCCATCTCTATTATCAAGAAAAGTTTTCTTCGCATTTTTGTTGCTTTATTGAAATTATAGTGTATGAGTAGTGATAGAGAAAGTATAATATTTTACTTTCGCGGGGTCGTAAATCCCAGTTACGTTCGATCGCGACGATATGCATACACAGGAACGTTGGCCTCGTCGAATTAATGACAGGCCTTGTCAAATTAATGATAGACCCCGTTGAAAATGCAGGATTTATGAATAACCGTGAGTCAACGAAACAAGAATACTTTAATGACAACTTGACGTGATTTGTATTACGTGAGTGGTACAAATTCGAGAATTGTTATTCAAAAAATGTCCAAAAAATCGAATATTTTAGAAATAATAAATTTTGCACTGAATGGTTTGTGTAGTGGATGATCTTTTATAGAAGATGTAATTTACATAATACAATATCTTTATAAATAGCTGCAGAATAAAAAAAAAAAATTGTAGGTTGTGGATAGGGATGTCATTGATAGTGTATCGACATTATCGATACACTTTCTCCAAATTTTAACACGGTATCGATACATACCAAAGACGTAGATATCATAAAGAATCGGTACCTTTTTCATACATACTCGAAACGTGAATACTTTTCGGCACCGCGTTTATTCCGAGCCGCCGAGCGTCTGACGTTGGACATCGAATGTATTCATACATATTCAAAGGTAGACATTTCTCACGTTATATACTCCAATTAATTTATTACAATACAAAACACGTATACATAAATTAGCAATGATCTATAACAAATCAAGGAATTAAAAATAAAAACCATTGTTATTTGTATACGCAGGGGTATAATTTTACCAATAAATTTAATAATCGAAATAAAACAGAAGATATTCCTTTTTTTAAATTTAAAAACAGTATGGAAGCGTTAAGACTAAAGTTGTATGTATAATAACGCCCTGCATGTTCAATGTGTATAAATTTTCAATTCACACAATATGGTGAAGCAATTTGAAAAAAAAATTATTCACGCAAATTGACAATGTGAGGAGATTACGAATAAATTTCTTCTACTTTAATGCAAAGAAAAAAATGTATACATAAAGTATGGGTGTAACTTAATTTTATCGTTTGCATAGCAACATTGAATATTACTTGTAAAATAGTAATTTCAAGCGACAGCTGAAAAGTTTCCAGAATAAGTTAAACAAAGTGTGTCTGTATAATACCATCTTCTGGCCAGATAACTTCTTGTTAACGTGAAATCGTATTTGCAGGCAAATGATTTCCTACTTAATTGCTCATTTCATGGCACGTTCCCGTGGTTACGGAAATTGAAGTTTTATTTAAGATACTATTATTCATGACGTTATGCCTTCACGGTAATTAAACATTCCGACCGGTCAGTACATTATCGCATACCGTACAAATCACGTCAATTAGTGAGATTAAGATGCTATCGCCCTGCAATGTTTAATATTCGAACAAATTATCCGCGTGCACGAGAACGAATGATGAAGAAAAAAAATGGAAGATGCTACGCATGAATTTATGAATTTTATCGTGAATTTAACCAGATCAACCACTGAGAAGTCGAAACTATCGGGTGTATCGTATTTCTTTGTTTAACACATTCAATGCCGTGTGAAATTTAAGGCTTCCGGTAAGAACTTTAACCCTACGTTGTCAATTATAAGGCCATGTAGCAAGTGCACCAAAAGTCTAGTTTCCGAGAACTATTAAAATTTCTTTTTTACAAATGACTAAGACTAATAAAAGTTAAGTGAAATTCTTATACAGTTCTTAATTAAATGAAGTAATGTAAACCACGTACTATTGAAAACAGTCTGCATTATGTTGTGTTTGGACTTAATAAATCCTTGATCAGTGTTCGAAGGCACCTCGACACTGAACATTAAATATTTCATTATCTAATGGCTATATGCAGCTGAAACAAATATCATTAGCTTCAGAATTCCAAGCTCTATCACTATGTCAAACGTCATTAAAAAGTCAGCATTACACCTACGGACACCTCTCCTTGTCAGTGCCGAGGAGCCTTCAAACGCTCATCGAGGATTTACTGTACTTTCATCAAGAGAATCTCCTCAATCTATTCATAACACTTTTGTGAAAATACATTGAAAGGAGGAAAAGTTGTAGTCATTCGTGATTCATTCTGCGTGTTTTACATTGCGTCCCGAGGTTCGGTCGCCGACAACCTTTGTGTCTGCGGGGCAACAGGAGTGCCGATAACGAAGTTTGAGCTGCTTGACCGACCGAGCGTTCGAATTGTTCGAAATGTCCCAACTGTCCGAAACGTCCAAACACTGTTCGAATTGTTTGGACATTTCAAAGGGTTGCTCATACATGTCCGAACAATTTGTTTGCCCACCACTATGACTCATATTTATAATGCATCAGATAAGCAGGCGAAGCCAAGTCAGCCTATTAGTGATACATATGTAGGAATTGCCTCGGGGCTTCCGCAGCTACGGTCTTTCCGACTATCGTTACAGATTACCTTCGACTCAAACCATGGACTTT